AATACTGTTATTAAAAAATCTGTTCTAATTCATCCCTTAGGTTTGCGATGGAATTGAAGATTGCAGCGAAGGGGAAGACGAACGAAGTTGTACCTGTGCGGTAGGTGTGCAAGTGACCAAACCTTGAGCTTACACACTCACACATCAGGGTTTGGATAAGTTCGAATGCCGGTCTGCTTCCGGAAAGACTAAGTGCATCCCAAAGACCAAGGTTTGCGATGGGGTATGGGACTGTATGGACGGAAAGGACGAGATGCAGTGCAAAGCAGTACGTCCTTTGAATCCTTCCTTTTACTGCTGAGACTTCGATCCAGTGTCCACACGATACTATTCGTTGCCACCAAGAGGGCAAGTGTATCCCGAAAATTTCACGGTGCGACGGCATAGCGGACTGCAAGGACGGTTCCGATGAGGCCGGTTGCACCTGCCGAGGTAAATGGAAAAACTTACCTTTCACTACCACTCGTGTGTCCACCGTATTTTTCAGAGTGCATAGGGCAACACTGGAATACCTATATGTGTGGATCGGGTTCACACTGCTTCAGAAGAGACGAAGTTTGTGCTCCGTACACCATTTGCCCGAATGCAACGAAAGCTGATAAAGTGTACTGCGCGGGAAGAGCGCTGCGGGGAGTGGATTGGCTCAAATGAACGACGCAAATCAACCACATGATACAGTGTGAATAGACTTATTTGTTTTATCAATGCATGTTTCAATGTATGTCATAGACTTGTGATTTGAAATCTTTTATAGTGACATAGTGATTACCATAGATTTTGTAGTAAAATTTTGATTATTGTCTGGCTCATCTTAAGGCTCCAGAAGCTCTGTCATCCAGACAACACAACACATGGAAACAGCTTACACTGGAGCAACCGCTTTCGGGTGTATAAGCAGTATGCTCGCTCTGAAAAATACCTCGGATTTGGGTTGAATCTGGCAAAGCGCATAAGTTTTCTAATTTGTGGAAACAAACATTAGGAATGAGAATCTCCGGTTTTGGTACGACAGCTGAGAGTGATAAGGCTGCCATTTTTGGCTCCAAGCATCCAGCCTTTTAGGATATGCACGAACCCGGATATATTCTTCAAAGCGTGTTAGTTCACTTTGGGAAAAAAACTGAAGAAGACGAGCGGCATTACCGAACCGTTCGTCATAGCTATGGGCGGTCACAGTTTTCAAATCACTTCATTATGTGAATTC